TGTTAAATCATGCAAAGACACAGAATGCAAAGGCTCAAATGGAGACTGAGTTAAGGATTCGAGGACTTTGGTGACATCCCAGGTCGGGAACCTGTGTATTGTAGGCGGCTTGATGTTTGTGGCACCCCTCAAGAAACAATGAATAAGAGGTTCATGAGAGAGGGGCTGAGCAGAAGTCAGAGAGAGGACTGAGGACAGAGCCACGACCTGGCAGCGAAGAGGATTTGGCGAAAGTCCCAGATCCAGCCTCTGTTGCAGAAACTGGAGAATATGAGGAATAGAAGCCTGTAGAGGAACGATGCCCTTTGTATGACACCAGACAGAGAGTCCAAGTGGCGTCGTAAATGCTGTTAGTAGAAGAGCGCCTGGAAGCTTGAATTGTGTGAATGACCTCAGTGGACAGTCTTAGAGCTTCCCGTTCAACCTCCAAGCGGTGAGACCTAACCAAGGTAGGTTGGAAGGTTGGAATGACCCTTGGAGGAGCAGTGAGGGGAATTGAGGCAGTTGCCACGGTGGTGCTACTGAGAGGTTCATGAGATCGGCAAACCAGGGCCTGCAGGGCCACCAGGGCGCAATCAAGATTAGTTCTGCCCTTTCCACCAGCAGTTTTTGCACCACTTGCTGAATGAGAGGGGTAGGAGGAAAGGCATACAGAAGGCCCGGAGGCCACTCGCTCCTCAGAGCATCCACGCCCTCCGCCCCTAGAGTCGCACAGCGTGCAAAGTATCTTGGTAGCTGAGTGTTGTCCTGGGAGGCAAAGAGGTCAAGAACCGGAAGTCCGAACCTGACCGTCAGTTGTTGGAAGATGTGACAATGTAAGCTCCACTCTGCTGGATTGTTGTGCATGTGGCTGAGGTCGTCTGCCTGAGTGTTTTGGGGCCCCAATATGTGCTCAGCCCGGAGAGACAACAGGTGGGTCTCTGCCCAAGATATCAGTTGGAAAGATGGAGTCAATAGATGCCAGGATTTTGTCCCCCCCTGCCGGTTTATGTGTGCCTTGGTGATGGTATTGTCTGTAAGGACAAGCAGGTGCACATTGACCACGAGAGATTCGACTGAAGCAGGGCGAGAAACACGACTCTTAGCTCCAACCAATTGATTCTGTTCGTCTGGTCAGAGCGTGACCAAAGGCCTTGGGCTGTGTGCGACAGAATGTGAACTCCCCAGCCTTGCAGACTTGCGTCCGTTGTTAGAATGATGCATGGGGGGTCATGAAGTAGAGATCCCTGTTCCATGGCAGGGGAGAGCCACTAGTGCAGGGAGCGCCTTACCTCGGGGGTCAGGCAAATACTGTGTGTTGAGCAACTGCAGTCCGCCTTCTGATACAGGAGCAACAGCCATTGTAGCTGGTGACTGTGGAATCTGCTGCCTGGGTAGACAGGGCCCTGAGGAAGGGCTGAGGTAGCGAGCTGACAAGGCGGCTTATCGCCAAACAATTTGCTGCTCGCCAAACACTCCAGCATCAGGAGCGGAATTGAAGCCATACGAAGAATGCTGCTGGGGCGGCACAAAGAGGTGGCGCCGTGCGAAACGCTTCTTGTGGCTGCCGTGATTAGAAACAGCTTTTCCGGCAGCGCGGCTGCAGCGACCATCTCATCGGGCAGCATGGCTACAGCAATCGGCTCCTTTAGTGGCGCGGCTGAGAGATCAGCCTTTTGGGCAGCGTGGCAGCAGTGGGAGACAATGAAAAGAGCCTGAGGGAAAACCTCGTAGGCTGGCCGCTAACTGAGGCAAAGCTGAGGCAGCAAGTCAGAGAGAGGCAAAAGCCTAGAGTCTGCAACACCTTAAAGGAATAAAGAAGTAAAGCCAATCGAAACACAAATTTGAGAGAACGCCAATTAGAGAATTTTGGAAAGTTTTTAGAAATTAAGGGATTAAGTAGCAAGGAGAGATACGGAGACACAGCTAATCGAAGGATCGACTGAGTCTATTTCTGGGAAGGAGCTTAGTGGGCCTGTCTTTAATACTTGTAGACCCAGTCATATTGGATCCTGACGGAATCATACCCATGCCTGGATGATGTCTCCACCTACTTGGAGAAATATATGTACATGGTTTGGTAAAAACTCAACATTCTTTGCTATAATATAGTTATATTAAAAAAAAACATTGGATACTGCAACCACATATAGAAAAACACTACTTTAAAAAGAACTAGAAAAAACAAAGGGGAACCAATTTGATTGTATCTATAATCCAGAAGAATTAGTATCTGGAAAGACATCAATAAACATACAGCCTGAAAATTGCTATCACTGTCTCCAATTTAAGAATATATAGGTGTATAAGAGGCCTAATCATGATGGTATTTGAGTTACTTTACAACTATAGAACTCTCAGCCGTGATGGCACAGTGGTTAGAATGCAGTATTGCAGGCTAACTCTGCCGACTGCAGCAATTCGATCCTGACCAGCTCAAGGTTGACTCAGCCTTCCATCTGTCCATGGTTGGCAAATGAGGACACAGATTGTTGGAGGCAATATGCTGACTCTGTAAACCAATTATAGAGGGCTGTAAAGCACTATGAAGTTGTATATAAGTCTAAGTGCTATTGCTATTTTAAAAATGACTATATTTAATATCAGATAAACACAATAATTCTGTTTTTCACTTTTTAAAATGTCTAAAACTTTCTTTTTTATTTTATTAATTTAGATTCCACCTTTGTTTTGTACAATCTAAATGATGAACATAATACTCCTACCTGTTTTCTGCACAGGAATCCAGGGAGAGTTGAGTTGCCTACCTCAAGATCATTCATATAACTTTAGAAAACTATAGTTTTAGATTTCTAATAACAGAAAATATTTAAAAAAATGATGCATTAGAATAAAAAAAAAACCTAAACTCATATTATGTGTTCCCTTACCATTTTCACCAGAAGGTAATGATACAGTGTGTGTTGGCACAGTCTCAGAATTCACTTTTCCATTTTCAAACGTGTCATTTTCAGTCTGTTGTAACTGCCAGTTGAGGCCAAATAGATGCATTGCTATTGGTAAAGAAAATATATCATTTCACAAGTTACATTGGGAAAAAAACTATAATGAACAGTGAATGTTATTCTATAGCCAACATTCATATTTTAAAATACAATATAAATGAATATTTTAATAAGCTCTTAATTGTTTTACTTTGTTTTTGGTTTAGAAAACATAGTGATGTCTGATAAATTTAAAATGACATATAAAATTCATTAGTAATTAATTTTAGCCATGAAACAATAATGCAGAATATCCCTAGCACATAATTCTCCATTTAATAGAAATAGAAGCAAAACATAACCCACTCACTTACCTTCTGAAATGGAAATTTTCCATTAGTGATTTAGTGACTTATGTCTTCCCAACCTATTTTTAGATGGCAAAAATTATTTTAATTTTAAACTCCAGTTCCTCTCCAATTTCATTATACCTTTATAACTGCATCTACATTCCTGATTTATTATACAGACAACTATATTTAAAAAAAACCTTCAAATACATATACTTTTACATTTAAAATCAATATAAAAAACAATATTATTCACATGTCCAGGAATAAAAGAAGCTTGCTTCTTTGGTCTGAGGGTAAACACATTTATTTGGGTCAGGGCGCCGCTGCCACTATCGTGCTCTAAGCATAACTTCTTCTCCAACTCCGGAACTCGGCTTCCGATTCTTCCAGCAGTGGCCACTCTAGGAGTGCGCTCTATGGTTGTGAGCTGGCTGGAAGAATCGAAAGCCGAGTTCCAGAGTTTGGAAGCCAGAGAAGAAGTTATGCTCAGAGTGCAGCGGTGGCGAGGAAAGCAGCAGCGGCGCCCTGGCCTTGCAGGGAGAGCTGGCCCAGGGCATGGTGAGACTGGGAGGCATGAGAGCTGGTGGCAGAACAGGCGCTCGCGCAACCACCTTCTCCAGCCAGGCACTGACCTAGGGGGTATCCCGAATGTGCCAAGCCGCGGGAGCTGGGGAGCGGGCAGAGCGCCATGTGGCTTGGTGCCTTAGGGTTACCCTCTAGGTCAGTGAATGGTGCTCTGCCCAGCTGGAGAGGGGGGTTGCCGGGTGGCTGCTCGTGAGCGTGGTCACCTCATGGCTGCTTCACCCCTGAGGCTGTGCCCAGCTCTTCAGGAGCCCGCTTGCAAGGGAGCAGCTGCCTGGCAACTCCCCCTTCTGGCCAGGGAGAACGCCACTCCCCAACCTAACGGTATCCCGAAGGTGGCAAGCAACATGAGTGTCTTTCTGCCCCTGGCTTGCGCACCTTGGTGCCTTTGGAATACCGCTAGGTTGGTGAGCGGTGCTCTGCCTGGCTGGGGGGGGGGTTATCCAGGGAGCTTATTTTCAGGGGGGGCTTATATTTTTGCCCAGACGAAAAATGTGGCAAGGCCTTAGTTTCAGGAAAGGCTGTATTTTTGGGGAAACATGGTAGAATTACCTTGATTTTTTTCTGAACTATTTGTTTATTTGTTTATTTATTTGCATAGCAGTGCATCTCACTAATGTGATTCTGAGCAGCTCATAAGTTATAAAACAATTAAACATTCATGCAAATATAATTATTATGAAAATATTTAAGATTAATCAAAAACAAAAGTGTGGAAAGTGTCAACTACAAGTTGTGAACAATACAACCATCTTAGAGGCTCAAGATAGTTTATTAGAATGAAAAATACAAAGCATAACAAAGGCAAAATCAAAATTAAAATCAGTCATTTAAAATAATCAATAATTAAAACCTTGGTAAAAGCTATTTGTTATTATCACTTCCTTAGAGCTCATAGCCTGGGAACCATAAAAGAGAAAGTACTTTCCCACATTGTAATTAAGTTTCCTGCGGCATGGGCATTTTTAGAAGACCTTTTTCATTGATCTAAATAGATGGGAGCCTCATAACCGAAGAAGCATGTAACAGAATTTCGATATTTAATGTGTGTATTTGAAATATTTATAGAAAATGCTGTATATTTTTTTTAAAATGAAAATGCAGCAATTAAATATCTCCTACATGGCTTCTATCTGATTATAACACAACACAATGCTATCCCAACCCTAAAATATAATACACAAACATTGTAACAGAATTGCAGATAAATAAAAAAATATTAAGACATAACCAAAGAGATGAAGATTACATCCATTGTTTTTTCAGCTTTTCTGTACTTTTCTTTTAAATGCAGCAAACTACACACACAGACTACAATGAGTACAGAAAAGCATCTACATTATATCCCTTTCCACATGGTCCAGGTAAAAGTCAGTTTACAAAGTTAATTTGATATTAGATAATTAGCGCAGAAGGAAAAAACGCGTAAATGCCAGTAGGTTTTCAAAATTTCATATTTGAAATATATTTCTTCAAAGGATATAATAAATTAGTTCACTACTAATTTTGGAAAAGTCAAAGAAACTTATAAGTACATATCAAGCTATAAGGATAATTGTTGAAATGGCTGGGCATATTGAAAACATGCATGATAAATAGCTTTTACACACGTTAATGACTAAAAGTAATGAAATCTATTACAAAGATTTATGGAGTCAAATATAGCAAGGTCAAATGAATGTAACATTCAAATATTAGAGCTAGCTAAAATTCCCTGTTTTGTAATAAAATTTGCATGGCATGTTACAATTCACAAATGATACAGAGAATGCAATTCTTTAATATTCCATAATAAGATGGAAGCAACAATTACAACAAATATTTAATAATAATATAATATAATGTAATAAAAGGCACTGAATGATTTTATATCTGCATGGACTATTATTCTACTAGAACATGAAATGAAAACATGAAATTGCACATTAAAAAGAATCTGATTACAGCAAACTTTTCTATAGACAGGAAAAATGCAATTTATATATATATATGAGTTCATACCAAGTTTACTGAATGTGCTATTATTCCTTTTTAAACACTGTTAGGTGTATTTTTCACAATATTCCAAGGGAGAATCAAATGTACTCACAGCCTCAGAGTAACTGCAAGTCAGTATGTACAAACTTAGAAATAAATTATGGTTAACTCAATTATTTCTGAAAGCTCTACTCAATAATACATAGGTTAAATTATTAGCCTTTACTACTATAATGAAAGACATATTCAATGTAAGTATGTGAAGTGCTTCCATGAGAGCTGTCTGTTATACTTCTGTTATAGTAAAACATTTATATTTTTTCCACACCTAATATTTTATAGTAATCATCAAAAATATCCTATTGAATAGCAGCAAAAACTTTTCTTCTAAAATTTGATTTCTTAAAAGTGCCTTCACCTGTTTATTCATTAAATAATTTCCCTGACAATTCTATTAAATCATCAGGAAACAGTTTGTACTAAACATGTTGAGAAAGGTTATAGGAAAGTGAAAAGACAAGGAGGGAAAAATAATCTATTTTGAATGTTTGAAAAAAGAAAGTACTATATAACTATTTTCTGAGTGCTTTTAGCATTTGAAATCTATTTTAATTGCATGTGCCCTGCACTATACTGGTTTATAGTGCATTTTATTTGTTCAATCTGTGTCTCAGTTTCTTACAAAATACATATTCACAAAGTATTGTTAAAATTAATATTGTGTCTCATAATATGTAAGATAAAGATGATTTAATTTAAGATTATCAGTGCCAGCATTGATTTCAATCCTGAGCTACAAATATTTTCCAAAATTAAGTCTGTCAAGACTTTATATTTTCTATATCTTACAGGTTTCCAAAGTATTTCATAGGAGTCATAGGTCTTTGATTTTGGACACATTCTATAAATTAGCCCATATGAGATACCTTACTTCAAAAATTGTCCCACCTTTTCTCCAGTTGAAGGTTACACGGACATGAAAAGTTTTTGTGTATACACACACACACACACACACACACACACACACACACATATACACATAAAAACATATAT